TAATTTCACCGCTTCTCTCTGTAACCGTAAACTAATCGGAGCAAGATTCTTCGCTCGTGGTTACGAATCAACGATGGGACCAATCGATGAATCTAAAGAATCAAGATCTCCTAGAGACGACGATGGACACGGAACTCACACGTCATCAACCGCCGCTGGATCCGTCGTCGAAGGAGCTAGCTTATTAGGCTACGCTTCAGGAACAGCTCGTGGTATGGCTCCACGCGCTCGTGTCGCTGTTTACAAAGTTTGTTGGCTCGGTGGTTGTTTCAGCTCAGATATTTTAGCTGCAATCGATAAAGCCATCGCCGATAACGTCAACGTTTTGTCGATGTCACTCGGCGGTGGAATGTCGGATTATTATAGAGACGGTGTTGCAATCGGCGCTTTCGCCGCCATGGAAAGAGGGATTTTAGTTTCTTGCTCAGCTGGTAATGCTGGTCCGAGTAGTTATAGTTTATCAAACGTAGCTCCATGGATCACAACTGTTGGTGCTGGTACTTTAGATCGTGATTTTCCGGCCCTAGCGATTCTCGGTAACGGGAAGAATTTCACCGGAGTTTCTTTGTTTAAAGGAGAAGCTCTACCGGATAAATTGTTGCCGTTTATTTACGCCGGGAATGCTAGTAATGCTACTAATGGTAATCTCTGTATGACCGGAACTTTAATCCCGGAGAAAGTAAAGGGGAAGATTGTGATGTGTGACAGAGGAGTCAATGCTAGAGTTCAGAAAGGAGATGTGGTTAAAGCAGCTGGTGGAGTTGGAATGATTCTTGCTAACACGGCGGCGAATGGTGAAGAGCTTGTTGCGGATGCTCATTTATTACCGGCGACCACCGTTGGTGAAAAAGCCGGTGATATAATCCGCCATTACGTAACAACTGATCCTAATCCAACCGCTTCGATTTCAATCTTAGGAACCGTCGTTGGTGTTAAACCATCTCCGGTGGTTGCAGCGTTTAGCTCACGAGGACCGAATTCGATTACACCGAATATTCTTAAACCGGATTTGATCGCTCCTGGAGTCAACATCCTCGCCGCTTGGACCACTGCTGCAGGACCCACTGGACTCGCTTCCGATTCTCGCCGCGTGGAGTTCAATATAATCTCCGGAACGTCGATGTCTTGCCCTCACGTGAGCGGTTTAGCGGCGCTTCTCAAGTCGGTGCATCCTGAATGGAGCCCGGCGGCGATTAGATCGGCGCTTATGACCACCGCTTACAAAACCTACAAAGACGGTAAACCGTTACTCGACATCGCGACGGGGAAGCCTTCGACGCCGTTCGATCACGGAGCAGGACACGTGTCACCAACAACCGCCACTAATCCAGGACTCATCTACGATCTATCGACGGAGGATTACTTGGGCTTCCTCTGCGCTTTGAACTACACGTCGTCGCAAATCAGAAGTGTGTCGAGACGTAATTACACTTGTGATCCGAGTAAATCGTACTCCGTCGCTGATTTGAATTACCCTTCGTTCGCTGTTAACGTTGACGGTGCCGGCGCGTATAAATACACGCGCACTGTAACGAGCGTGGGAGGAGCTGGGACTTATTCGGTTAAAGTAACTTCGGAGACAAGAGGAGCCAAAATTTCGGTTGAACCGGCGGTTTTGAATTTCAAAGAAGCTAACGAGAAAAAATCGTATACGGTGACGTTTACTGTAGACTCGTCAAAGGCGTCTGGATCTAACAGCTTTGGGAGTATTGAATGGTCGGATGGGAAACACGTGGTGGGAAGTCCCGTGGCAATTAGCTGGACATAGCCGTAAATTATGAGAAAATGAAAGGGGTTGTATGGAAAGAAAACGTGTTCACAGATTTATTGTAATGCCGTTTTTAGATAAGAAGAACCTCTGTTTAGCAAAAACGGCATGCAGTCTGTTAAGGCTTGCCTAGTTTGTTTTTGGGATGTCTAATGTCTTGCTGTTTTTTATCTTTCTAATTTTAAAAAGAAATATATTCCCCGGCCACACAACAATAGTAGCTGGGTCCCTAGGTGTTTTATCATGTGACTTGAGAGTTGAGATAGTTGAAGAGAAAATGTTTTTTTTAAAAAGCTTTAACAAAATTCAAACGATTAATCATTACCACATCATCATTTTTCGAAGTAGTATAAACTACTATTAAGTGTATATACCGAAACTAACCAAAGAAGAGAGTCTGAATTATGAAACCTTATCATAGGCATGCATTTATTTATTCTCAATGATTAGATTTGCTGGTCAAAACCCTCTATATGTCACCGATAAACATAGAAAAGCATCATGATTAGATTTCGGTAAATTAATGGGCTTGACAAGGACGGTATGTCGGTATAATATAATGGCCTTTCTAATGATGGGCTCTTTGGGTTTGATACCTTATTATCAGTCTCCTGTACTTTTCTCTCTCCTAATGGAAAATCGGATTATATTACCTTAAATTAGTGGATTTATTAATATCCAAGTTAACGACTTTCAGAGATGATTAGTGATACTGATCACACACTCGACAAGTCTATTTTGTATCATGCCTTTCATGGCCAATGTTTGGTTCACGTTGCATGATTCTAAACATCTTTAAGATTTGGAAGCCAAATATTAGGCGTATACGATCAACGATATCCACATGCGAAAACTAATAAGCATTACATATTTATACATACATGTGTGCATTTGTTAACATATTATGTGTAATATGTAAAGTTCGATATTTTCAATCCCTTTTTTTAATACCGAATTACACTACAAGAAAACATAGCAATTTCCGACGAACATTTCCGACGAAATTTTTAGTCGGAATTATTCCGACGGATTTCCGGGGAATTTCCGACAAACTTCCAAGAAAATAATATTTCGTCGGAAATTCGTCGGAAACATAAAAACTTTTCCGACGATTAAAAATTCGTCGGAATTTCGTCGGAAATATTTGTCGGAAACCATGGAAAATTCCGACAATCCAATGTCATCGGAAACTGCTCGGAAACTTGTCGGAAAATTTGTCGGAAACAACGAGGTAAACACGTGATTATTCACTGCACATGTTCCGACGTAATCCCGACAACTTGATCGAAAAAATTAGTCGGAAAAGTAGTCGGAAAATCTAAAGTTGTTACCTTTAATATTTCCGACGAATTTCCGACAAAATGTCGTCGGAAAAGTTTTATATATATACTAGACAACGAAAGAATCATAGACACAAGAAAAAAGTTGAAAAAAAAAAAACAGAAACACAAAAATATCTTCGAAAAAAAAATGTCTTCTCATAATATTTATAAAATTAGAGAGTGGATGTATAATCGATTAGATGATGAGACCGGAGCTATGAGGCAGGAGTACAAGGAAGGTTTAATGGAATTCATGCAGTTTGCATCTAATCAAGAAATGACGCGTATCGAAGGTATTATGGCATGTCCTTGTGTCAAATGTTGTAATGATCATTTTCTTGCAAAAGACATTGTTTGGAATCATTTATATTGGGGAGGTTTTACACCGGGATATTATATATGGTTTTCTCACGGGGAGGATTTTAGATCGGGTCCTAGTAGTAGTCGTGAAAGAAGAGATGAAAACGTTATAATTAGCGATGAGCATATTCACCAGGAAGAAGATAATGTAATTGGAAGTGGTAGTGGTGAATTTCATGATAACGTAGAAAATACTAATGTTGCGGAGGAACCCAACTTAGAAACACAGGGATTTTTCGATATGTTAGATGCTGCAAATCATCCGATATATGCAAGATGCAGAGAGGGTCATTCTCCTTTATCCGCCGCAACACGTATGATGAACATCAAAACAGACTACAATTTAAGTGAAGATTGTGTTGATGCGTGGGCTGATTTTATCCACGATTATCTACCGGAAGATAATTTATCGCCAGTTTCATACAACGCAATCCAAAAATTGGTATCTGGGCTAGGTTTACCATTCCAAATGATTGACGTGTGTAGAGAAAATTGTATGATTTTTTGGGGAGATAATGTAAATATGTCTCAATGTCGTTTCTGTGGTGCTGAAAGGTTTCAGGTTACTGGTGGGCGAAACAAAATACCATATAAGCGTATGTGGTATTTGCCCTTGGCTGATAGGTTGAAGAGGTTGTATCAGTCAGATCGGACAGCGGAGGGTATGCGATGGCACGCTGAACATGAGTTCACCGGGGAGATTTCACATCCATCGGATGCATCGGCCTGGAAACATTTTTGTTCTACATATCCAGTCTTTGCTAATGAACCAAGGAATGTCTATCTTGGTTTATGCACGGATGGATTCAATCCATTTGGAAAGTCAGGTAGAAAATATTCTTTGTGGCCAGTAATAGTCACCCCTTACAATCTCCCACCTTCCCTTTGCATGAAAAGAGAATTTCTTTTCTTAACCATTTTGATTCCTGGTCCAAACCACCCTCGTCGTTCACTTGATGTGTTCCTACAGCCGCTTATAGAAGAGTTAAAAATGTTATGGTACCAAGGGGTTTGGGTATATGATGTCTCCACAAAGACAAATTTTAACATGCGTGCTGTATTGATGTGGACTATTAGTGACTTTCCCGCATATGGCATGTTATCGGGTTGGACAACTCATGGAAGACTGTCGTGTCCATATTGTCAAGATAATACAGATGCCTTCCAACTAAGACATGGCCGGAAATCAAGTTGGTTTGATTGTCATCGTCGTTTTCTAAGACGAAATCATCCATATCGTCGTAGTAAGACGTTGTTCCGCAAGAACAAGAGTATCCGTGATCCACCGCCACCTGAGTATGATGGTGATTATATATTGAATCAATTTCGTGATTTTGATGTTGACTGTACATCATCGGTAGGCGGTAATGGCCATGTCCGAATTGATGGATATGGAGAACATCATAATTGGCATAAAAAAAGTATCTTCTGGGAGTTGCCGTACTGGACAAATCATCTACTCCGCCACTGTCTTGACGTTATGCATATTGAGAAGAATTTCTTTGACAATATAATTAACACCATTTTAAATGTCCCGGATAAGACTAAAGATAATGTCAAATCCAGAATGGATTTACCCGATATTTGTGCGCGCGAGGATCTCCATTTGCTTGCAGACGGAGTAGGTCCTATTCCTATATGGAGATTAGATGCAAGCAAGAAGACCAAGTTTTTTCAGTGGATAATTGATGATGTTAAATTTCATGATGGCTATGCATCAAATCTATCATATTGTGTTGATGATCACAGTGGTAGATTAGCTGGGATGAAAAGTCATGACTGTCACGTCTTCATGCAGCGTTTACTACCATTTGCGTTTACACAACTCCTACCAAATGTTGTCCATGAAGCAATTGCAGGTACAAACAACTTATCTTTCAATTATTTTAATATGTTATTATTCATGTATATATTCTTTTTTTGTTTACAGTTATTAATTAAATTGCAGGGATAGGTGCATTTTTTAGAGATTTGTGTTCAAGATCTCTAACAGTCGAAGGACTACATACACTTGAAGATAATATCCCGATTATCATTTGCAATTTGGAGAAATTATTTCCCCCATCATTCTTTGATGTCATGGAGCACTTGCCTATCCATCTACCTCGTGAAGCAGCACTAGGCGGTCCAGTTCAGTACCGGTGGATGTATCCTTTTGAGCGTTATATGTTCCATTTGAAGAAAAAAGTAAAAAATCTTAGCAAAGTTGAGGGATCAATAGTAGCTCAAAGCATAAACGAGGAGACTTCTCATTTTTCGGCCTACTATTTTGCTCCAAATGTCCAAACAAAAGCAAGAAAACCAGGTAGGTACGATGATGGGGGTGTGCGGCCTTTTTACCATACATCTGTCCCAGATATCTTTTCTCAAATCGGGAGACTGAGTGGGAAGAAAAGAGAAGTATGGTTTACAGATCAAGAATTTAATCACATTCATACTTACATACTCCGGAACTGTGACGATGTCATACCATTCGAGAAGTAAGAAACAAAATTCATACCTTAATAATACGCATATATTATTTGCAAAATAATTACTTATACAAAAAAACAAATGTCTGTAGGATCTTTGATGATCAAGTGTCTGGAGCGTATCCAAACATGACAGAGGCTCGAAAAGAGGAAATGAAGCAGACACAATATGCTAATTGGTTAAAATATTATGTAAGTTTTCACCGTTGATTTTACATATATTATGAACATGGTTACTATTTATTAAAATCGTACATTTGCTTGTATGTTTTGCAGATCAAATCAGCCGCAAGTAGGCAGGAACACTATCCAACATGGTTTGAAGAGTTGGTTGGAGGTCCTCTATCAAGGGCAATGGCATACCCGATGTATTGCACTCGAGGCTACGTTTTCATAAAACGTCCAGGGATTACTAACAGAAAAACAGTGAATTATGGGGTCGTTGTTCGTACAGATTCGATAGACTACTATGGTGAAATTACTGATATATTAGAGGTTGAATATCCGGGAGTCATAAATTTGAAATGTATACTCTTCAAGTGTGACTGGTATGATCCTAGAGTTGGAAGAGGTGTTAGACTTACAAAGTATGGTGTCACAGAGATCAACTCGACTAAGCAGTTAAGAAAGTACGATCCGTTTATACTTGCATCTCAGGCAGCACAGGTTTGCTACATACCATATCCACAAGTAGGTGTTCGACAATATCCATGGATTACGGCTCATCAAATAAATCCAAGAAGCAGAGTTGATGGGGTGAAAGAAAAGGAACCGCTACAACAAATTGCAGTAAACGAAATTACGCAAGTAGATCAATCTGTCGGTGACATTCCCCTCGTTGATATTGAGAACATAGAACTCGAAGAGATATGGGAAAATGCGGAAGACGAAGAGGATGGAGAAGAGTTTGACGATCAAAATGATTCTGCTAGTTCAGATTATTCTTCCGATTCTGAGTAAATCAAATATATCGTCTTTAGTTTTATATATATATATTTTATAAAATCTGTTTAAATGCTTTTAAATTTATCATATTATATGCATTATAATTTATTTGTTAAAAAAATCTGTTTCTATTTTATAATAATTAAACCATTCTAATATTTTATTTTATTCATACTTTCATCGGAACTGTCGTATGAAACGTTTGAGATTAAATTTGTACCGCTTAAATATATCTTGATACAAAACAGGGTATATTTAATTAAAGAAATACTTGACACAAAATAATTAAAATTATTTAAATAAATATACCCTGTTTCCGAAGAATTTTCCGACGACATTATTTTCTCCATCGGAAAATCGTCGGAATTAGGCTATATTGAATTAATTTATTTTTTTTACTTTTCTTTCAGAAATACTGAAGCGGGAACATTTACGAGACTCGGGAGATTTAATGTCCAAATTCCGTCGGAGATTGGGTCTTAAATTTATTGCCGTTTACTGTTCCCGGGCGTCAAAGAAGTTAATGTAACCAATTTCCGACGAAGTTTCCGACGACATTTTTAAATTTCGTCGGAATATTTGTCGGAAAATGTTACCGGGAGATTTAATTTCCGACGAAATTTCCGACAAATTTTTAAAATTCGTCGGAAATTTCGTCGGAAATTGGTTACATTAATTTTTCGCGAATCTCGTAAATGTAGAGGGAAAGTTACTTGGTTTGAAATTCCCGCTGCATTGTTTCCGACGAATTTCCGACAAATATGGTCGTCGGAAATTCTTATATATATACGACTCACAGATTTTTGCCTCTTACGCACTTATCACTCTTATAAATCTCTCTACAATATCTCTCTAAAATCTCTCTACAAAATCACTCTAAAATCTCTCTAAAATCTCTCTGTGATAAACAAACGTTAAGGTAAGATGTTTAGTTTTATTTTCTTCATAATTTTGTTTATAAAATTCAAAAGACTAATTATAAATTTTTTATTTGATTAAGGAGATGGATAATGGATCGTGGAGTGGATATATGTCGTATTGCAATGAACGTGGGTTTGCTCCGGATTTGAATCTTGGTTCCGAAACCCAACCACCGGAGGATTTTCCCATGGAGGACACGGAAGTTCCGGAGACGGAACCATTGGCGATGCCTACACGGAATGATGATGCAAATCCACTCGATTCTATGACGCTAGACCAATTACTCCGTGCTCCGGGTCGAGATAAATTGAAAAAGATCGACCCAAGCCGTATGCACTGAACAACTTGGTAAGAAATTGTATTATTTAATTTATAGTTTTACATAGATAATCTTAATTAAATAATTTGGTAATTATAGGTATCGATTCGATAAAGGATTCACAAAGATTATCAAGAAAATCATGGAGAGCGATTTCCCCGATCCCGCTCCGAATATTACGTCGGTCTCCGGAGACACAAAGAAACGTTGGTTTAAGGCATTTGCGGTTAGTTTATTTAAATAAAATTTATGCTTTATTTACTTTGTTTATAATTGTAGCTAAAAAAATTAAATTTTAAAATTTTACAACACTAAAAATATATATATTTTAAATTGTTTAACATTGTAGCAAAAATTTAATTGGGATTATGGTCTTACGGGCGAAGTACAAGAAAAATTTGAGGAGATATGTGGGGTACGTTTATTGGATTATGTTTATGGATGGAAAAAGAAATGGCTTAACGGGAAAGAAAAGCCAAAATGGATGCGAGAAAACGTTTGGCAAGGGCTTATTGCATATTGGTTACAAGAGCAAAATAAGTCCCGTAGTGAAACTAATTATCAAAATCGCAAGAGTGAACGCGGAGGCTATGGCATGGCTAAACATACTTGTGGATCAATGCCAAATGTCCGGAAAAAGGAAAAAATGGTAAATAAAAATTTAAATTTTTTACATTTCAATTTGCATTATAATAAATTTATTGTAAATTTTTAACTAATAAATATTTTAAATGCAAGCGTAATCCCGAAACCGGTGAGTATCCCGATATGGTGACATTCATGGAGGAGACTCACAAACGGAAATCGGACGGGACATTTGTTGATAAAAAAGCTGAGGCAATAGCTCGTCGATGTCGGGAGATGGAGAAAGAGAAACTCACACAATTGAGTCAACAATCAGACACGCCCGATGATTATCAACTCACCCAAGCAGAAAAAAACGATATTTTCCGATCGGTAAGTAATAGTAATTAAAATATTATAATTTAGATAATATGTTTTATTTCCTAACAACATTTTCATTATAATAGCAAGTTGAAGTTAAAAAAGGACATAGATTTGGATACGGTTCCATTCCGTATGACGAAGACATGGGCGGAAGTTCGTCGTATTCACATGCACACGTGAATTGTCAAGCAAACGCAGCCGAAATCATCGAGTTGAAGACTCAATTAAAAGATTGTAAGTTTTGGATGGATACGATGGCCCGTCTTCATCCCGACATCGTTCCGCCTTCTCGCCAAGATCAACCCGGAAATCAAAATGAAACAAATAACGTTGACACTCTATTTGATAATATATAATATTTGCGTTTGTAATAATTTTTAGTTGTTTAAGAACTTATTAATGTTTAATTATGTTTTTTATATTATGTGGTGAATTTTATTTTTTTTAATTATGTTTTTATATAATATTTGTGTTTGTTTTATTGAATTATTACAATTAAATTAAATTAATATTATTTAATTTAATTAATTATATTAATTAACAATAAAATATAAATATATTTTTTTTTAATAAAATATAATATTTCGTCGGAAATTCATCGGAAAATAATAAAAAAATACGATTTGTCGGAAATTCGTCGGAAACTATTAAATATATTATTATATTATATTTTGTCGGAAATTCGTCGGAAACATCCATTCGTCGGAAATTCGTCGGAAACTATTAAATATATTATTATATTATATTTTGTCGGAAATTCGTCGGAAACATCCATTCGTCGGAAATTCGTCGGAACGTTCCGACGAACTTCCGACGATTTGTGGTCGGAAAATCGTCGGAATCGTACTCGATCTTGCGGCGTCGTTTGTCGGAATCTCCTCGGAATGGCGTCGGAATATGCCGTCGGGATATCGTCGGCAATTTTCCGTCGCTATTCCGACGGACATTTCCGACACCTTTCCGACACCTTTCCGACGGGCTTTCGACGAATATTTCCGACGATTTTCCGATAAATTTTCCGACAAATCATCTCGACAGAAATTTCCGACGAATTTCCGACGAATATTGTTTTCCGACCAGAGAATTCCGACAAACTTGGTGTAGTCGGAAATTCGTCGGAAACATCCATTTCCGACGAATTTCCGACTATTTGGTTTGTCGGAATTTGCTATGTTTTCTTGTAGTGTTAGACGCCAAACCAATGTAACAAAAAAGAAAAGAAAAAAGAGGTGAGAGCCTGAGAGGTGTAGTATATATTGTATCATTTACGTCCCAGTTCAGATTAACAGGAAGTGATAGAAAAATATCACTTTAAAGTGTACCACCAATGTGTGATAAATAATGCGATTATGAGATTTGAAGATAGGTATAAAGAAAAAGTATAAACGACAATATGATACGTCGTTTCTTGCGGCCCTTTAATCATACAAAACAAAACAATGGCATAAGCGACGCATGAGTCACAAGCAATGAACAATAGTGGCCATCATCTAAATAAATAAAAAAGTTGACAAGAACATATTGTTGTTGTGATTTGCACCGCAAGTTTCAACTATTTTTGGTACCACCCTCACTTTTTTTTTAGTGCTTTTAAGTCAAAAACAACTTTTATAATTATACAATTTCGATCTAGACGTATCATATGATTTCAAATCCATTCTACCTTTTATTTGGTAGATGAAAATATTGTCTTGACTCGGTGTAAAGTTCTTTCTCATGAAACTTTTATCCTTCTAGAATTTGATACATCAATATATATATAAATGCAAAGAGTCATTTTCATTTTATTTATATTTTGTAATTATATAAGTAGTCAAAGTCTATAAATGTTTCTACAACTAAGGGAAACAATTGTAGACCATTAATACGCGTTTGACAAAAATAAAATCAAACTCCTAATTTCTAGCTACAATTCAATTAGAAGGATCTTTTCTGCATAACTTTCTGTCTCTGCTCTTTTACTAAAATTCGGAAATGATGCTTGATTTTTGCTCCCACACATAGATAAAAACAAATTTTAACGCTCGTAATTAACAGCAAAACACCAAAAGCAATGATAAAATTTCGATAAGAATCATGATAAAATGTATGCATGTTGAAGATGATGGTGATGGTGCTGGGTAAAGTGTAACTATCGCGTGCCAGAAATAGTGGCCTAGGCCCACTCCTCCACAGACCCAACCTTCTAAGCCATTCTTATTATTATTATTTGATTTCTCTTGGTTTCTTGTTTTATATATTTTTCACTTATCGGTAAAAAGTAAGGTAGAAATAAATAAAAGAAAAGGCTGCCATATCTTACAGCCTTTCAGCTTTATCATGTGAGTTCTTTTTCTTCCTTACCATAGCAATATAAACATTAAACGGGCTAGGAAACTAGTAAATATCTAATACGCTTTGTTATAATAAATTGTGAATAAAATTAATTAAGGTTTTAAAATTTAAATCACATATGGACGGTTTTGAGACAGACTCTTGTGTCATATGCAAGTTGACCATTTAAAAAAAAATAATCAGTTTAAACATTAGTATTATTTTCAGGATTGAAAATTAGGCAAGAAAACAAAACAAGCATTAAATTTTTATTCAAATAAATAACTATTTTGACCATGCTGTCACTTACTGTACACAATGGTCACGATACTGATAGAAAAAAAAGTAAAAAGACAAAAAAACCGTGTCTAGTAAACTAGGACTCATACTTCTCATGATTTTCTATTTTTGGTTAAAATTTGTACAACATAAATAAAAATGGAAACTAACTTTCGGTGTGTTGTGTAATTTACTTTTGTTTTCGATGGCTTATGTCTTGCTCCAAGTATATAAAAGGTGTATAAATACAAGCAATCATGTATCAAGGACTATAGGTTAAGTGAAAAAAATAATACAAATAATAAAATCGTTTTTGACTTTTCCAAAAGAAACTTCTCTTCTTGTCTTCTTTAAATATTCAAATTCGTCGTCCTCTCTTTCGTTATGTGTTTATATTAAATTTTGTACCTCTCTGTCTCTTCGTTGGAAACTCGGAAGCTTCGAAAATGGCAAGGACTTGTACGGAAGATGATGAAGAAACCCTTTTGATCTCTCATCGCAATCAAGACGACGAAGAAGACGATGACATAGAAGAAGAAGCTTTGTCTCTGTGTGATTTACCGAACGAGAACGGCGAATTACGATCGATTGTCAAAGAAGAAGATGAAGAATTCGATTCCGGGTTCGAATTTGGAATCGGGTCATCGTTTCGAGCCGGGTCGGATTCATGTGAACCAGCTCCGGAGATGAGTACAGCCGACGAATTATTCTTCAAAGGCCGAATTCTGCCGTTACGTCACTCCGTCAGTTTAGACGCCGGACTTAACGAGCCGACCCGGTTAATTACAAGATCCGAATCGGTTGAATACAGAAGAACCGGAGTTAGATCGGACCGGAAAATCAAAAACAATTTCATCGATTATAGTCAACCAAGTCCACAACCACAGATTCGAAGATCATCGAGCATGACGGCTCGTGTTAATTCAATCAGAAACCCTAAATCATCTTCGATTTGGGATTTTCTCAGGTTAGGACTCGTCCGTACGCCGGAGATAGAGCTCCGAACCACCGCCGGAAACGCGAGATTGTCAGTGAGTCGAAACAGTAGCTGTAGTAGTACAAGCACGAGTTCGAATTCGAAGAAAACAGGATCTGGAGAATCGAGATCGAGGAATCGGAGGAGAAGCTTTTTGTTTTCGGATTGTAAATGTTCGGTGTCGACGGAGACGATGATGGTACCTGTGAAGATCAAAGTTGAGACGGAGGAGAAACAGAGGGTGATGGAGAAGAAGACGGCGAAGAAAGAGGAGAAAACGGCGATGGCGAGGAAGAGGACGTTTGAGTGGTTAAAAGAGTTGTCACAGGTAGGTTTTGTTGTCGATCATGGAAGACGAAGCTTGGTCTGATTTTTGTTTTTTTCAAGAAATATTTTAAAATGTATTTTTTTGGGTGTGTTTAATTAATCATTTCGTACGTTATTTTCTTTTTGTATGTTAGTGGTAATTGTCAATTATATACTTAGTTTTTTTTCCAAATGATAAATGTTTTTGGTTTTCATTACATTCTATAAGACTATGATTAACCATTTCGAGCTAATGTATAATTTGCTAATCTTTGACTTGAGTTTGATTTTAGAATGTAATTTTGGATTTCGAATTTTTGGGTTGTTCCTTTTTTTCTTCTTTTCTGTTTTAAATGAATAATCAACGAATATTAATCTTAAGATGATTAGATTTTAGTACGATTTGTAACGGTACATATTCATGTAGACATGAGCGAGGCATACACGTATGATGTTATGAAAGCGAAACATCATCATAATAAAAAACGAGAATGATGTGAAAGTGAAATATCATATAGTTATACTCACTTTTTTTTTTTTCATCGTTGTTTTGTTATCCATGATAGATTCTTCTTATGAAGGGAGTGGTGCTTGGCATGATTAAAGCAATGATGTTTTTTTTTCTCTTTTTTCTTTCTAGGACGTGAATTTCTCACCATCATTTCGTATAATATAATGTTTTGTTCTTCTCACTTTATATATCATAGGTTGAATATTAAATCCGCAACCCAAAGTCCATTTAATCACTTATGAGCGAACTTAGGCGGGCTAAGCAATCACCCAAAAAAATGTTTACGTAATCTTATGTTAAAACAATATGTTATACATCACATAGACAATTCATACTTTATTGAACGTTTTACATAAAGTTAAAGATTACAGACCAACTAAAGATATGATGCGTACGCGCGTTTAGTTTTCGACATTTTTAAAAATTACTAATTTTTAAAAAATAAGAGTAAAATTAACATGATTTTATTTGAAAATTATTAATAAATCTTTAAAGTTTAAGTGTTAAATATGTTTTAAATTTTAGTGAAAATCATTATTATTTTTTAAAAATGAGTTTAAGCGTTAAATCTATATTACGTGAAAACATGCCGAACTTCGAATACCAAACCTTACGGACTAACTAAGTACATGATGCTTAGGCGCGATTAGTTTTCGACATTTTAAAATTTAACACTTAAACTAATTTTTAAAAAGTAATAGTGAAATTTACGTTATTTTAGTTAAAAATTATTAATTATTTTCTTAAAGTTTAAGTGTTACATTTGTTTTAAATTATAGTGAAAATCATTATTTTTTTAAAAAATGAGTTTAAGTGTTAAATCTATATTACGTGAAAACATGCCAAACTTTGAATACCAAAGCTTACGGACCAACTAAGGACATAATGTCAAGGCGCGGTTAGTTTTCGACATTTTTAAAATTTAACACTTAAACTAATTTTTAAAAGGGAAATTGTTAAAAATGCCCCTTTTGGTGTGCCCCTTTTCAAAAATGCCCCTTTTAGATGTCCATTTTCAAAAATGCTCCTTTTTAAATCTGAAATTTTTATAAAGTTTTATTAGGTTTATAAGGTACTTATGGATTGTAACTACTACTTGAAGACTCGATCCAAGTATTTATAAGGTTTTATAAGGTGTTTTTAAAGGTTTTACAAGTTATTTTAAAGATTTTTAAGATTTTTCAAAGGTTTTACAAGATATTTTAAAGGTTTTTAAAGGTATTTAAAATGCATTTATAAGGTATTTATAAAGTATTTATAAGATTTTAGATACATAAAAATGTAGTTTGTATATGTTTTAATAATGTTACATACATATTTGGGTAAATCTTATATTTTTAAGAGCATTTTTTATAAAGTTATAAAGAAGGGGCATTTTTGAAAAGGGGCATTGAAAAAGGGGCATTTTTGCAAAAGCCCCTTTTTAAAAAGTAATAGTGAAATTTACGTGGTTTTAGTTAAAAATTATTAATTATTTTCTTAAAGTTTAAAAGTTACATTTGTTTTAAATTTTAGTGAAAATCATTATTTTTTTTAAATGATTTTAAGTGTTAAACCTATAGTACGTGAAAACATGCCGAACTTCAAACACCAAAGCTTACAGACAAACAATTGACAAGATGCCTGGGCGCGGTTAGTTTTCGACGTTTTTAAAATTGAACACTTACACTAATTTTTAAAAATTAATAGTGAAATTAACATAGTTTTAGTTAAAATTTATTAATTATTTTCTTAAAGTTTAAGTGTTAAATTTGTTTTAAATTTTAATGAAAATCATGAAAATCTTTATTATTTTTTAAAAATGAGTTTAAGTGTTAAATCAATATTACGTGAAAACATGCCGAATTTCGAACACAAAAGCTTACGGACCAACTAAGGACAGGATGCCTAGGCGCGGTTAGTTTTTGACGTTTTTAAAATTTACCACTTAAACTAATTTTTAAAATGTAATAGTGAAATTAACAATGTTTTAGTTAAAAATTATTAGTTATTTTCTTAAAGTTTAAGTGTTAAATTTGTTATTAACTATTTTCTTAAAGTTTAAGTGTTAAATTTGTTTTAAATTTTAGTGAAAATCATTATTATTTTTTAAAAATGAGTTTAAGTGTTAAATCTATATTACGTGAAAACATTGCCGAACTTCGAACACCAAAGCTTACGAACCAACTAAGGACAGGATTCGTAGGCGCGGTTACTTTCCGACGTTTTTAAAATTTAACACTTAATCTAATTTCTAAAATTAACATTGTTTTAGTTAAAAATTATTAATTATTTTCTAAAAGTTTAAGTGTTAAATTTGTTATTAATTATTTTCTTAAAGTTTAATTGTTAAGTTTGTTTTAAATTTTTGTGAGTTAAAAATTATTAATTATTTTCTAAAAGTTTAAGTGTTAAATTTGTTATTAATGTTTTTCATAAAGTTTAATTATTAAGTTTGTTTTAAATTTTAGTAAAAATCATTATTATTTTTGAAAAATGAGTTTAAGTGTTAAATATATATTACGTGAAAATATTGCCGAACTTCGAACACCAAAGCTTATGGACCAACTAAAAGTTTTAGTTAAAAATTATTAAATATTTTCTTAATGTTTATGTGTTAAATTTGTTATTAATTATTTTCTTAAAGTTTAAGTGTGAAATTTGTTTTAAATTTTAGTGAAAATAATAATTATTTTTTAGATAAATTGTTAAAAATGCCTTTTTTCAATACCCCTTTTCAAAAATGCCCCTTTTGAGAGTCCATTTTTAAGTTTGCCCTCTTTTAATTTTTAATGACCATTTTACCCTTATTTGAAACAAAATTAGGTCCACAAAATACAAAATATTTTTTGGCGGGAAAAGTGATCCTGCAATTTTCCCGCCAAAACACTTGTAAAAACCTTTAAAATACCTTGTAAAATTTTCCCGTAAAAATTTTTCCCGCCAAAAAATTTTTTTGCGGGAAAAGTGATTCCGCAATTTTTTTGCCGAAATTTTTTTGGCGGGAAAAATTTACAAGGTATTTTAAAGGTTTTACGGAGTATTTACAAGTGTTTTGTAAGGTTTTACAATGTATTTTAAAAGGGTTTTACAAGGTACTTATAAGGTTTTATAAGGTATTTATAACTTGTAAAACCTTATAAAAAACTGTGTAAAACCCTTATAACATGTAAAATAGCCCGCAAAATATTGTAAAATCTAATAATATCTTATAAATACTTTATAAATACGTTGTAAAACCTTTTAAAATACATTGTAAAACCTTATAAATACCCTGTAAAAATCCTTTAAAATACCTTGTAAATTTTTACCGCCAAAAATTTAACACCAAAAAATTTGCGGAATCACTTTTCCCGCAAAAAATTTTTTTGGCGGGAAAATTTTTTGTTGGGAAAAAATTTTACGGGAAAATTTTACAAGGTATTTTAAAGGTTTTACAAATTTTTACAAGTGTTTTGGCGGGAAAAATTGGGGGATCACTTTTCCCGCCAAAAAATATTTTGTATTTCGTGGACCTAATTTTGTTATATTTCCTTATATATTTATGATATCTTTTATTAAAAGAAGGGTAATTTAGTCATTTTGTACATAAAAGGAGTATTTTTAAAATGGACATCCAAAGGGGGCATTTTTGAAAAGGGGTATTGAAAAAGGGGCATTTTTGTGAGTCTTATTAGTTATTTTCTTAAAGTTTAATTGTTAAGTTTGTTTTAAATTTTAGTGAAAATCATTATTGTTTTTTAGAAATGAGTTTAAGTGTTAAATATATATAACGTGAAAACATTGGAGAACTTCGAACACCAAAGCTTTACGGACAAACTAAAAGTTTTAGTTAAAAATTATTAATTATTTTCTTAAAAGTTTAAGTGTTAAATTTGATATTAATTATTTTCTTAAAGTTTAGGTTTTAAATTTGTTTTAATTTTTAGTGAAAATCATTATTATTTTTTAAAAATGAGTTAAATGTTAATTATATATTATGTGAAAGCAATGGCGAACTTCGAACACCAAAGCTTACGGACAAACTAAAAGTTTTAGTTAAAAATTATTAATTATTTTCTTTAAAGTTTAGGTATTAAATATGTTATTAATTATTTTCTTTAAGTATAGGTGTTAAATTTGTTTTAAATTTTAGTGAAAATCATTATTATTTTTTAAAATGAGTTTAAGTGTTAAATCTATATTACGTGAAAACATTGACGAATTTCGAACACCAAAGCTTACGGACCAACTAAAAGTTTTAGTTAAAAATTATTAATTATTTTCTTAAAGTTTAAGTTTTAAATTTGTTATTAATTAGTTTCTTAAAGTTTAAGAGTTAAATTTGTTTTAAATTTTGGTGAAAATCATTATTAATTTTTTAAAATGAGTTTAAGTATTAGATCTATATTGCGTGAAAATATTCCTAAACTTCGAACACCAAAGCTTACGGACCAACTAAGGATAGGATGCCTAGGCACGGTTAGTTTTCGACGTTTTAAAATTTTATTTCTTAAACTAATTTTTAAAATTAACATTGTTTTAGTTAAAAATTATTAATTATTTTTTAAAATTTTAAGTGTTAATTTGTTATTAATTATTTTCTTAAAGTTTAATTGTTAAGTTTGTTTTAAATTTTAATGAAAATCATTATTATATTTCAGAAATGAGTTTAAGTGTTAAATATATATTACGTGAAAACATTGGCGAACTTCGAACACCAAAACTTACGGACAAACTAAAAGTTTTAGTTAAAAATTATTAATTATTTTCTTAAAGTTTAAGTGTTAAATTTGTTATTAATTATTTTCTTAAAGTTTAGG